TATAACTTCTGACATTCTTATATTAATAACATTTACTCATAGAAATATAACTTATAAAAGGTAAGCAGCATTTTGTATTTGAAAATGCCCATCCTGAAATTTAACGTATCAGATAAACCTAATTAATTTAACATCTCCTTTTTACAAGGTTAAAGAACAAATTCTTTGAGATCTTGCCATGAAGTTCTGGAAAATCCCAAAGTCAGCTCAAGATCGAGAAGACTTCATTTAGGATTTGATTTTGGGAAGGGATAGTTGTCAGAACTGTCAAAAGGTTTGAACACTTGACTAAATAGGATCCCAGGCCACTATGAAACAATACTTAGTTATCTAGTTCACCAAAGTGACAATAAAAGACTTCAAAAGTAAATACAGGAGGAAACACAGCTGTAAAAAGAAAACCTTGGCTCTTTTGACAATGAGAAGACTAGGTTCTCCCAAATCATCAAGGACATGATAATGACAACACAACGCACAGAAAATTATTTTAAGACAGAATATTTGTTTCCCAGGCAGATTACTAAAAAGGTAAAGAAAAGCCTTCTATACTCTCTTAATAAAAGCAGACCAATAACCCAAGAATTTTTTTGTCTTAACAGAAAGAAAACCAGACTCTAGTTTTTTTATCAGTACACCAATCATGTTAAAAGTCATTTTTAAAAACTATATAGAAATCCATTTAATCTTAGCCAGCTTTCACCTCCTAACGTAAAATTTATTTTCCACAAACCTTCTACAACTTTCTATATATGCATTCAGGTTTTTTATTTTACTGTAGGGCAAAATTACTCTCCTTAACAAAAACACATCCTACATTCTTTGCATACTTTTCATATAAAATCATCCTATTTTCCTCCCATACGAAGTTGTTTCCCTTCATTCTTATTGTTTCTAATAGTAATTTTATTTTCATATATTGATTATAATTTTAACCATTTAGCAGTCCTTATTTTACAGAGAAAACTAGGAAGCAAACAATTGCGAATTGTCTGTCACATACCAGTATTCTGTAGCAGACTAGCAAATTTTATGAATATAACATTTCATAACCTGTAGAGGTATATGCTTTTAATAGTACAANAAGCCAGAAAAGAATACATACAGCATGATTCCATTTATACACAACTTTAGAAAATGCAAAGTAATCTACAGCGAGAGAAAGCAGATCACTGGTTGCCTGAGTACGCAGCAGGGAGTAGGAGCAGGAAGGGCTTCTCAAGGTCTGAGGAAACTTTGGGGGTTGTTATGGGTCGAATTGTGTCCCTCCCAAATTAAAGTCTTAACCCCCAGAATCTCAGAATGCACCTTATTTGAACAGAGGGTCTTTACAGAGGTGATTAAGTTAAAGTGAGGTCATTAGGGTGGGCCCTAATCCAATCTGACTAGTGTCCTTATAAGGAGACACTCACAGAGGGGTGACCATGTGAAGACACAGTCTACAAACCAAAGAGAGGCCTCCGAAGAAACTGACCCTGCTGACACCTTGATCTCAGACTTCGATCCTCCAGAACTGTGAGAAAATACATTTCTGCTGTTTCAGCCCTCAGTCTATGATATTTGTTACGGCAGCCCCAGTATACCAATACAGGGGTGATGGATACATTCACTATCTTGATTACAGCACTGGTTTCATACTTGTATACATATAGCAAACCTTATCAGGTTGTCCGCTTTAAATATGTACTGTTTATTTTATGTCAATTGTGTCTCAATAAATCTGTAAAAAGCGCAACAAATTCCACTGTTACAAAAGCCAAAAACAGACCTGAGAATTATTTTGGGTTAATGGCATACGTCTCTAGAGGTAACACTGGAGTGGACACAAAGTCCAGGGCTTTCTCCTGCTATAAGGGACAGACAATTAGCCATCTGTGCAGTCTGTTTCCTGGGGTAGCTCTGTGGTCCAGTGGGGTGAGGACCTTTGAGTCCCTCTGTGGGCCCCCAAATCAGCCAGGGGACTTCCCAGTTTCCTAACCCTAGAGCAGGTTTGGCCTCCCTCCCCACCCTCTCAGAGCAAGAGCAGTGGACAACAAATTCCCTTTACACCATCTGTGATTCTAAAACCCAGTATCTACCTTCAGAGAGCCATAGTTTCATGGCCAGGGTGCCTGTCCAACTCCCTGTTGTTTGGGGTCCTGTTTCTCTCCTGTCTCATTCCCTCCACTCTCCCACATATGCCTCCTTGTCATTTAGACTGGGGAGCAGACCGCTGGGCACTCTACAGCAGAGCTCAGGGTCCACAGTAAAACACTGGCAGTCTGCTCCCCATCTGGGTTAGTGGCACACTGTAATGTGATGTCTCAGGATACCTCTGGGTCCAGCCTGTTTACTGGACACATCTTTCCCGAGCACCCCTGGGTGTCTGGGCCCATCTGGAGAGCAAGACAGAACCATCAGAACGGTGATCTCTGAGGGATAGTGCAAGGGCTAAGAACAAGGACAGAGGGGGGCCAGATGTGTAGGAGGGGTGCAATTCTAAGTAGGGCCAATCTCAGCAGCAAGACTAAAGGGAGGTGACTGAGCCCCCCTGGGCAGGGGAAGAGCAGGCCAGGTAGGTCAGGAGGCCAGGGCAAGGTGCAAGGCCAGAAAGAGCTAGGGAAGCATTTGCAAAACTGAGAAGAGGCAGGGGGCTAGAGCAGTATGGGTGAGGACATGGGTGGTGAGAGATATATCTGAGGGTGGGGACAGATCCTGTGAGGCCTGGGGCTGGTGCCAAGGAGGGCAGGCTCAGACTTGGGGCACCAACCTGGCTGTCGTGCACTGCACAGACAACTAGGGTGCAGCAGGGCACAGTGCACAGTGACACGACTGCTGGGGTGACCCTGGCAGGGTGATAGGTCCCTGGAGGCTAGCAGGCCAGCTGCGGAGACAAAGTATACTGCTCATGGCCTCTAAAGGCATAGCCCAGCTCTGGAAAATAATACTGCCTACTCCAGGAGGCCCTGAAAGCTTGGAGGTGACAGCAGGACACAGGACACATACCTTCCTTGGCACAGGCCAGCCCGCCGGATCCCCCACCAATCACCAGGAGATCATAATCCTGCTGTCCTATTGAGATAAAGGGTGAGGGGTGAGAAGGAAGGGCCAAGACAAATCTGGAACACCGATCCCAGAAGGTAACACATGATATCCAAAGGGCAAGCAGCCCAGTCTGGTTAAAAGTAGCACAGGATCTGTTGCATCAGATAGGAGAACCCACTCTGTGATGGTTGGGGTGTGACCTATCACATATGGGGCAGAAGGCAACCACAGGGCACACGACATCTGCACAGGTCCTGAGAGGAGGTTGGCATGGTGTGAAATCATCTTTGCATCTCCTCACCCCGCCCCCACCCCTCACCCCCACCACCACCTCTCAAGGAGGGAATTTAACTGACAGGACTGCTCTGAACTCGAACGTCACCCAACATTCTGAGCCAGACACAGGATGCAAATGTTTTCCTTGCGTCCATCCATCTGTCTTTCTGTTGTGAAGGTCACCTTTGTTATAAGTGAGGGAGAATAAAGAGCCGCCCCTATGTCAGGCAGCACAGCCAGGCCTCTCCGGGTACCCAGTGCACACTGAGCTCCAAAGGGAACCCAGTCTGAGCAATAGCAAGAACTTCGGGACCCTAAGTTCCTCCCTGAAATGTGTTTGGGGGATCACTGTGGTGTTGCCTCAGAGGCAGTGTGCCCTTTCTGCTCCTGAACCTGGTACAGGGGGCCGCGCACGTCTTTCCTGCCCTGAAGAAGGAATCATCTGTCTCTCTTCTGCAAACTACTGGCATGGAAGGCAGGCAAGAGCCAAAAAGGGGACACTGAGGAAGAGAGTGGGGGTGGGTTGCTAAGGGCAGGTGTGCCCTTAGGTGTAGCCAGCCTGTGAGAGCTATGACCCAGGGCCTGAGTCGGGGACATCAGCGCCAGGCACAGGCCTGCTCCCTATGGAGGAAGGAAGAAATAATAGAAAATTATCAGTACATGGGGAGGAAGGGGAGGGTGCAGATTACTGCCAGGGCATCAGGAGCTGGCCGCTGCTCCTGGGCAAAGCCTAGGGTGTAAAGTGTGCCATGCAAGGCGGTGTGCCCGCACCACACCAGCCTGGGCCTGTCAGTGAGAAGGCTGCAACTATCTTTGCAACCACCTCAACCTTCCTGGTTGTGGGGGAAAACACCTGGAGTCCCATGCTTCTCAGGGACCCCGGCTCCATAGACACCCCATAGGGTAGGGTCTGAGACCTTAAGCCTAGAGGAGGCCCTAGCTTGCAGTTGAGGAAGCCTGGGGAGCAGCCACGCGGAGCTGCATCCAGGCACTTGGCCCGTGGCCTGCAGCCAGCTTACCCGGTGGGAATGTTCACTGTGCCCACCTCATTGCCAGGCTCACCCAGGTTCCCTCCAGTAGGCGGCATTTGAGGGTGCCTGAGATGTGTGTACAGGTACACTTGGATCCAGCGGAGCCACAACTCGGTTCAAGCAGCCAGTCCAAAATGGACCCAATTCCAAATGCAACTCAAGAACCCTTAAGAGGCCTTAAACTGCTGTCAGTTATTCTGATGGCTTTGATATGAGCCCAGAGAATGGAGGACCAGCTACTCGTTGGAGGAAAGCTACTGCCAGATTAGGAGCACAAGACTGCTGGGTAGGGCGGAGTCTCTCTCTCCGGCTGCCTGTGGGGAGACAGTGGGGAGGCTTTGCCCAGAACGCCCCTACCTTCCATTGCAGGTGTCTGTTCTTCCTGCCGCCGCCACGGCAGGATCGCCGCTTGGTCTCGCTGTCCCTAAGTCCCGCACTGTGTCTCCTCAGCCAGCTATCAGGCAGAGGGCAGGGAAAGCAGCTGGCCACATGGATTGTGGGCTTATCTTTGGCGGTTTGCTCTTCCCACTCACTGTGCACACCCAGGNCTTGCCGATTATAATCTCTATGGCCTAGCATTCTTTCCAGGTTACTGTCATCACTGCCCCTGGGTTGGTGACCACATTACATCGCCAGAGGGGAGACTCCATGCAGACCCCTGGAACCATCACGTAGCCTCTGGAGGAATGCCCAGATTTTCCCTTAAATATTTCAGGCTAGTCTGAGAATGTTAAGGCAGTTTTTGGAGGTGTTAACCCGCTGCCTTCTCAGACCACTGGTGCTCTGATAATAAATGCTTATTCTGTGACCCAACTCCTGTGTCAGTCTATTGGCCGAGCGGCGCAGGCAGCACAAGCCCCTGATTGGTTTGGTCTCCGGCTTCAGAGCCACTTTGGGGAGATCTGTAGTTTCTCAAAGAAGCCACTGAAGTTCCAAATTATCCCTAGTAAAGTCACTCCAACCAGAAAGGAAGTGGACAGAGCACCACGATGGACATAGTCAGGAGGAGTGCAAGAAGGGTTCAGTAGATGAGAGGCTCCCATGGAAGGATCAGGATCAACTGGAGAGACAAAGAGGCCTCCCCAGGAGCCAGGAAGGACTTCTAGCCCTGGAGGTACTTTCCAGAAGAAGCCTGGCCTCTCACCCATCTTTAGAGTGTATACTCGGAATCATAGAATCACAGTCTGTCCTCAACGGGCTTCAACAAATGTGTGTCCAGAGCGCTGAAACAGGAGTTAGAATCACCATGAGATGCCCAGATGAGCAGCAGCTGGAGATAAGACAGGTCTCTGTGGGTGCCACCCTCTAGCATGGAAGTGAAATGAGGTCACCTTCAGCACACATACAGGGGCAGGGCTGGAACCAGACAGCTGCTGGGGTTTTGTTCCCAGTGCCCGAGAGCTGCTAGAACGTTCCCATTTCCTAGGCAGAACAGGCTCTTGGGCTCTGGCCTGCGGGGCAGGTGGTCAACCATCATCCCTAGACGCGCACCCCGGCAGTGTTTCTTGACCCATCCACCCCTGTCCTTCTGTCCTCCCCACAAGGATCCTGGCTGGCCAGC